CTATCTGACCTCAATGCGATGTCTGAAGCGGGCTTAAATAACCGATACTGCACGGTCTAAGAGGAGTTAAACCATTTTTATCCAGCATTAACCTTGACATGGCGATGGCTCGGGCACGCTGCATTCTCAAAACCTGTTTCTCGTGGAGGGTGACGTTCTTAGAGTCTTTCACATGTGTATGATATTTTAAGCTGGAATAGCCATTTGGAAAGCATTCACTGAAATTAACAGTCCTGCCCGTCTAAAGACCTAAAACCCTTCAGTTTCTGAGGTACCCTTCCCCCCCCCCCCCCCCCCCCTGATGCCCACCAAGATGTACAGAATATTTCTTGCGGAATATTTTTAGGCCATTTAGACATGCACGACGTCAGAGCAATGTAATTCCAACCCTGCTGCCCCATAGGCCATGCGGCGTTCAGGACCTAGAGAAATGTTGCCATTGAGCTATAGCGAACATTAATTGATTCTTAATCAATGTAGGAAAAGCCGTGCAACTTTCAATTACAAACCATGTTTTGTGCTGCATAATGTGAGAAGTTGGATATAGTCGTTTGCTGTTACGGAAATAAGTATTGTAATCAAATAAGGTATAAAATGTTATAACCGATGATTTGGATACAAGCAGACATCTTAACTCAAAATCATGCAAAAACTCTACGAGACAGGGCCAAAACGCGAGCACATAACATTTGCTTACCAAACACTTCCAGCATCGCCACTGCCACCTCTCGGCGAGTTTGAAGTACCACAAGCGAGTGCTAGTGCGGCAATTTCACGCGGGTAGTTTTGTGGCGCCTCAACGGCATGCAATGGTCCCATGATTCGATCAATCAATGAAGTGCTGAGGAGTAAGTGTATTAAGTAGAAAAGTGTGTTGTCTTAAACAGCCTTTTCCACTTAAAAACGTACCAATAGTCTTAAGTGGGCTTTTGTCATCACACCGGATGCCTGCTCCCATATCTTCAGGTGTGGTATTTTTCCTTTTGATATTTCATCACTTGAAGCAGCCATTTTGTTTGCACAGTTCGCTTGCTGCATTCTCAGTGCATACTTTCAACGGAACTCAGTAGCGAAAGTTAGACGTTTTGAGTAAAACGTGGCACCTGCTTTTGAAGCGTCCAAACCGCGGTCACTAACAAAAACCATCCGTCGCAGTTATTTGACAGAAGATAAAAACTTTTTGACATGCCCCATGACACAGTGGATCACCAATGCAACGTGGGAGCGTTTATACTTTGCGCCGCGTTGATTTCGCTGACACTGTCGTAATCGATGCGGAGGTGACCTTTTAAAGAACATGCTCTGTGCCGGGCCGTGTATTGTTTAGAGATAGCTGCTGGGTGTTAAAACCGTTTAGTGACTGATAAGTCATTTCCTTGCATACGCATTGCGCTGATCATGCATTGCATACGCATTCAACGTTAATGTTGCCTTCAGTTAAGAAACCCATGGAATATTTGCATCTGTTGCGTCTCGCGCTTGAGACAAGGAGTCCACATCCACAACCCCAGTCCGCACACAGGTCTGGGCCGGTACACTGCGGCACAGCCTAACTGGCAGGATGACATGGGCGACGACAGTAATGCGGTACAGCATGGCCCGCAGCGAGGCACCGGGAAGTGGGGTCGGCCGTGATTCACGGCGAGGGCGGGCGTGGCGGTCGGACGTTCCTCGGGGGGCGGATGTGCTCTAAGACACCCTCACCCCCACCCCTAGAGCGGAGCAGGTTTGCTGGCATTTCTGTCCAGGTGATGGACGTTCGGACTCTCAAACGGTCGCGCGTCTTAGCCACCCCTCAGAAAGCTTAATAGATGGCGCCACCAGCAAGCTGGAGTTGGCGCCGCTGTCATCCGGGCACGGGAGACGGCGAAGAGACGGCGGGAGACGGCGAAGTCACATCGTCCGGGGTCTGTGAAATGCGTCTGATGGACCGACCACCATTAAAAGTGAAGGGCGTCTTCAGTGTAAAAACACACACAGATTGCATGAGCCGATGAAATCTAGCCAGACTGTGATGAGCGAGGAGCAGCGAGCCGTGTATCGTTGACGTCACAGACACAAGACCCCGTGCCTTAGCTACGGCTCAGCCACCCGACCAGCCACGGCTCAGCAGCCCAGCCGGCCACTCTCAGCAATCTTGCTAGCCACCCTCAGCAATCGTGGTAGCCATGGCTCAGCGACCCAGTCAGCCAAGGCTAGACTAGCCACCCTCAGCAACCCACTCAGCCACGGCTCAGCCATCCGACCAGCCACGGCTCAGCCACCCGACCAGCCACGGCTCAGTCATCCCACCAGCCACGGCTCAGCTCCGGCACCTGATGCGTTATGCCGGGCCCATCCAAGCTTAGACGCATGGAGTTATCAAGTCAATCTTAGCAAAGGAGTTCCAAAACTTCAGCCTCTTTTTCAGAGTGCACTATTGTGCGTTGGAAAAGCTGTGGAGATTTTAAGCCCCACAGCATTTTGATCTTCAAGCGTGTGCTTGTGACTTAAATAAAAATTGCAAACCACTTCTGGGATGCTTGGCAGCGAGCCGCACCAGGCCAAGTCTGCCGTGACAGCATATTTGCGAGTCCCTTCATATTACGACACACATATAGGTACTCGACTTCGGAGGGCACGTGCGGAAAATGTTTTCTGCGGGGAGCAAACGTCATATTTTCTCCGAAACCATGCGAGTTTAAACAAAATTTCTGCGAACTTGCGCAGTATTGCGTGGACACTTCTTGGCTCCGGGGGGATGGACCCCGTTGCCCTCTTCTGGCTATATCCCTGGACTTCGATGGTGTACAAAGTTGAAATACTTCCATGATCAACTATCAAAGGTGCCACTTCGAGCGTGAGCACTTGGTGGTGTGGTATTGCAACATTGGTTTAAATAATGCTCGTTAGGACCTAGGAATGCATGGAGTGGGCTTCCATAGCCAGGCTTGTGTTCGGTGACGCCGTGATGATGTGTTAGCCCCATTTTACATTTAACCTTCCATTGACCAGGAGAGGGAGCTCGAAGAGGGTCGGAACAGGTCTCTGGACATGTCGCCTCCGTGGTCTTGGGGAAAGATGCTGGACTCGTAATCCAGCGGCACTGGGTACGAGTCCCAGAGTGGGCGCATTGTTTGACCCGACTGAAACGGAAAGGCCAGCTGGCAGCTGGCCAACGAGGCTCAACCCAGACCCGAGGCGGCCGTGTCGCAGCATTGTGCGGCACGTAAAACCCTCCGCATTCCTGTCCGGCGAAAGGGCGGAGGCAAAATTAGCTGTTGAACTGGACGGCACGCTTGGGTGGTGGGTTCGGGGTACACGCAACAAGCTATGCTTAGCAGGTACTCTGAATCCGAAGTCACCCATACAAACCATTCGGGATAATTTTTTAAAAATGTCACTTTGGTAGAAAAGATAAAGGTGTATGGTATGTCCTAAAGACAGGGGAAACTTACACCGCTGCCGACCTGGTTCGACTCCTTGCATTCTTGATTCATCGACTTGTGAATGATGGACTGCTAACGGGCTCAAAACGAAACTGATACAAAACCGCGCACATGCTTGTACCGCAAGCGCGCTAGTTCCTCAATCAAGCAGTACGCAGTGTTGTGTGACAAAGGGATAGTTATTACTTCGGGCGTAATTTGAAGCATGCTCAAAACATAAACTACGAGCCAGCTTTTGATAAGAAACAGCATATAAAGCATCTTATTTCAAGAGAAACCACGTCCAAGTGTTACATAAGTCAGCTGTTACAGTGCCTACATATTCCATGCAAGCAGCCGATATATCTCAAATGTCACACGTGTACTAAATGTATTCATGGTATCCTGCGGTTCCAGTAATACGAATGTATACGCAGCCCCACAGCGTGTCAAAGAATCAATTCTTGTTAATGCCATGTGCATAATCTCAAAACGTTTTTTGCATTTGTCTGTGATTGTTCAAAATAGTTTGTTGGGACACGCAGCTGATGTAATATGAGCCTAATCATTGCATCTGAATGTAATTCTTCCATGTTTCATCGTTCCATTAAAGCCACGGTCTCCATACTCCAATGTTGCAAAAAAACAATGTTCACGTGGCAATGATTACACGAATGTGATAGACTGCATATCACCTTTCCATTATGCGACCAGCGTCGCCCTGCGCGAAATATGGCTAAAAGGCAAAATTTATGAAAACGTAGCAACTACGGCCAGTTTTCCGCACCGTATTGTACTACCCATATCAGCTTTGTTCTTAAAGGTACCACAATTCATTATTATTACATTACACACAAAGTGTGTGACCTTGATCAAATGTGAGGTCACAAGAGGGTCACGAAAGTTAAAAAAACGGTCGTTCTGATAGATGCTGTTAAAGCTTGTAGTAGAACGTCAAGACGGATATCGAGGAGGCATAGCTGACCCCGCATGTTTTCGAAATTTTGAATGGGTGAGCTTTCGGTGGTATCATGCTCTATTACTACAGCAAGTTTGACCTATGACAAATGATCCACAAAAAAAGTTGAGAGGTCAATTTATGTAGGTTGGCCTCTTTGACATGACCTAGGTCCCTGATATTGGTAGTTCAAAACCTCGATGTTGCGCAAAGATATGTGAAGATATCCAAACTGACATATTGACTTGATACTTGATACTGAAAATTTCGTGCTTTTGTGACCGTTTGTTTTTACATGCACTCAGAAAACGGTGGAGGAAGTCAACTTGCCCGCCCGGGCGGGACGTGCATAAAATCGCATATTATTACACCCACAAACTAATCCATTCCAGTGTAGCTTACACGGCACAGTAATACCTTTGCAGCACTCATACGTTTTGGGTGCATTATGACCACCCGAATCATGTTAACCCTTCAATTTAACTAAAAGCATTTCAGGAACATGCTGAACCTGACAGGGCTTTGTTCCAAATCCATCGTCGGTGCGCACCCCTTGTCTTCATGGATCACGCCCGCCCGGCCTGGAAGAGCATTACCATATGTCTGGTATGATGTTCCCTTGTTTTCCGTTTCAGACATCGCAGTCGGAGATATACAAGAGCATCGGCAGCAAGCACACTGACCTTCGAGTCGGGTCGGACGCTGAGGGCATCGCCGGGGTCCTCTCCGGGCGCTGGGCCTTTATCAAGGTCAGCCGTTATCTGAGGTCGACCTGGCCAGGTTTGGCGTGTCATGTCATGGTATTATAACATTGGTCATATAATGATACTGTAAATCTTTACAGCGATTTAGGTCGATATAGATGTCGTACGGAGGGTATTGTGATATCGGTATAATTTTGTTAACCGCGTGGCATCGGTATTACGCTCTCTATGCATGTACGCATGAGGTACATGCATAGAGTACATATATATATATATATATATATATATATATATATATATATATATATATATATATTCTATATATCTATATCTATCTATCTATCTATCTATCTATCTATCTATATCTATCTATCTATCTATCTATATATATATATATATATATATATATATATATATATATATATATATATATATATATATATATATATATATATATATATATATAAATCTATCTCCTCTTTCTCTCTCCTCTCTCCTCTCTCTCTCTCTCTCTCTCTCTCTCTCTCCTCTCTTTCTCTCTCTCTCTCTATCTCTCTCTCTCTCTCTCTCTCTCTCTCTCTCTTCTCTCTCTCTCTCTCTATCCTCTCTCTCTCTCTCTCTCTCTCTCTCTCTCTCTCTCTCCTCTCTCTCTCTCTCTCTCTCTCTCTCTCTCTCTCTCTCTCTCTCTCTCTCTCTCCTCTCTCTCTCTCTCTCTCTCTCTCTCTTCTCTCTCTCTCTCTCTCTCTCTCTCTCTCTCTCTCTCTCTCTCTCTCTCTCTCTCTCTCTCTCTCTCTCTCTCTCTCTCTCTCTCTCTCTCTCTCTCTCTCTCTCTCTCTCTCTCTCTCTCTCTCTCTCTCTCTCTCTCTCTCTCTCTCTCTCTCTCTCTCTCTCTCTCTCTCTCTCTCTCTCTTCTCTCTATATATATATATCTATATCTATCTATCTATCTATATATATATATATTATATATATTATATATATATCTATATATCTATATATCTATATATCTATATATATATATTTATCTATATATCTATATATCTATATATCTATATATCTATATATATATATATATATATATATATATATACGTACTTATATGTTCGTGTGTGTGTGTGTGTGTGTGTGTGTGTGTGTGTGTGTGTGTGTGTGTGTGTGTGTGTGTGTGTGTGTGTGTGTGTGTGTGTGCGTGTGTGTGTGTGTGTGTGTGTGTGTGTGTGTGTGTGCGTGTGTGGCGTGTGTGTGTGTGTGTGTGTGTACTTATCAGACACACGAAATACAGGTTAAGACGGCGCACGGAAAACCAGTTAGTGCGTGGAAAGACGCATGTTTCAATGTCCGTGAGGGTAATGGGGATGGTATCAGTTTATGCACTTACACAAATATTTATAACATATTGGGTGTATGTTTATTATACGAATGTAATATTTAGTTGCATAACGAAAATATCCATGTGGTTGGTTCTCAAATATCGGGCACACCAGAGTGCAGAAATTTCGGGTGTGGCGACGGACACGCTAACTTTCGTTGGTAGTAGACTGGTTCGGCCTTTCTTCGCTGAACGACGCTCATTTTTACTCGTTGGCCTCACCAGACTTTCTCGGCATCTCCGCTCGCGGTCAGAAGTCGGCCCGTTTAGCAGTACATCGTACCAATCATTGTCCTTTTAGCGGATTACAGCAAACTCTGGGCGACTGGAAGTTTCCCGGAGTCTTGGCGTGGGTCGAACATTATCCTTACGCTCAAGCCTGGTAAGAATGGGGCTGTCGTCGCCAACTATCGCCCTATCTCACTGACATCACGGTACCTTTGTAGTGTTTTTTTTCAGGGCGGTAAAACGTTCTGCGTTAACGTAAAACGTAAAGCGGCTGCTCAGTGGGGATTCAGGAAAAATTGCAGCATGATTGACCATCTTATAGCTCTGTATACCAGCATCCGTACTAGTTTTAGGGGAAAACGGCATGTCGGCGCTGTGTTTGTTTTGTTAAAGCTCATGATACCACGTGGCGTTACGGCATCCTGAAGAAACTCTTTCATTACGGCGTTCGGAGAGCCATGGGCACATTCTCAGCGAATTTCGTGACTGATCGCTTTTCCAGAGTTCGTGTTGGCTCCAACTTTTCGGAAAGGTACCAAAAAATAACGAATGGCATGTCCCAGGGCGGTGTTCTGTGCGTCGCTTTGTTCGCTGTGACGATAACCGATATTGGTGACTCCCTTCCAAAGTCGGTCAGTCGCTCTCTCTTTGTGGATGATGTCGTTATCTGGTACGCCTCCTCTAACTTTGCTTCTCTGGGGCGTCGCTTGCAGTTGGCTGTGATCGGCCTGGAAAGATAGAAGTTGGCTGTGATCGGCCTGGAAAGATGGAGCGTTCTAACCGGACTGCGCTTCTCAGCTTCGAAAACAGTGGCTATGCACTTTTGCAGACGCCGTCGTCAATGCCATGCCGTGGCTTTAAGGCTATGCGGCCAGACCATTCCGAATCAACCCAGTTCCCGCTTCTTGGGTCTGCAGTTTGATGATCGGTTGACTGGTAGGTCACGTCTGAAAATCCTAAGTGACAATTGTTTCAAAGCATTGAGCATATTGAAGTATGTGTCTCCAACATGTTATGTAGCGTACAGGAGAACACTGTTGCTCCTTTACCGCTCACCCATACATTCGAAACTTGAGCATGGGTTTTTTATTTATGACGGCGCGCCGGGCTGCTGCAAGCGTTTATTAGACACCGTGCATCGTACCGCAGCACGCATTATGACCGGGGCATTCAGAACGGCAGCAGTTGGCAGCCTTGCGGCGGACGTAAATAAGCGTTGGCACTGAGAACGGAAATGCTTGGCATGCGACGCTTTCGCAAGCTGGCCCATTCTCCAAACCATCCGATTCACCAAGCAATTTTTTCACGTATTGTTGAAGACGTGTTCCAAAGTGGTGGGAGACCACACGGTATTCCATTTGATGTTCAGATGAAGAAGCTGTTCTGGGAAAACGACCTTAGTTTTGCGTGGTAAGTTAAAGTCATTTCCCGTGTTGGTTTCCCGTGTTCTTCCCGTCCCGTTTTCCGTGTCATGACCGCTATGGAGGCTAATTTCACCAAAAGTGGATGTCTCTCTTTCATGCACGGGCAAACAGCGAGTGATCCCAGTGACTTAACATGCGCTCGGGTGGCGGGTCCAATTGCCCCCCAAAGGTTTTCCAGAATGGTTTCCGAACGGCGCAGCCTAGCCCCGCCAAAGTTTGCGTAGTCGTATGAAATTGAATAGCGTATTGTTTGAGATCACAAAGTTAGACGCACCTTGTAGGGTCGCTGATCAATGGCAGGTCAAAGTCAGGCCATGGTTTCAGCGAAGGCAATTTCTATGGAATCGTCCAATCTGGTAAAATAACGGAGTGTTTGACGAAGCCATACATCTCTGAAATGCTTTCTTAGGCGGCCTAGGTATGAAATGCTTTCTTAGGTCAGGTATGAAGGTCAGACCACGTTCACGACCAACCTGATTCATTGCCCTAGGGCTTGCTGTATGGGATAGTTTGTGGTGCTCATTTTGAATTTATTGACAACAGTAACCGCATTATACGTCTTCCACTGACTTCTATGAGGTCAGAAAAGGCCATTGACCTGATATGACCCGGGTCGACATTTTGTTTTGGGAACACACTGCCTAGCGTAATCTTTGTCGCTTATTCAAATGCAAAACTCAGAGCAGTCTCGTATGATTTCGCTCACCATGACTTGCAAAAGGTCAAGCAAGGTCGCTGACCTCAAATCGGCTTTTGACCTTCCGCTTCGAAACAGTTGCCTAGTTTCTGGGGGCACTTTAACGACCCACCTGGAATTTGACCTTGTTTGACCTTATTTGACCTGAAGGTCATGACCTAGGAAGTTCAAAGTTTAACCTAAGTGAGTTTACGTACAGGTCAAGACAACCTATAAATTTGGTGTTTCCAGCTTTCTTAGTTCCTGAGATCTCATGGGAGATCAAACTGCCCCTCCCCCTCCACCCGAGTGAAGGATATCTAGCCGGCCACCCGGGCTAGTGTAATGGTCGAAGGCTCTGAATAATATCGTGTCGTACGTAGGATTTTAAGCCACATATTATTGTGTCAAAAGCGGAGGTGGTTGTTGGTGGGTGCTACATTTGTAAATGGCCAAGCCACTCGGCCATTGTCTTTACCGAAACCCGCCCCAGTGTACACGTCCGAGCTCGTTGCAATTAGCAAGACCTTATGCTTCATCGGAGCTGGTGAAAGCAGGCCACACGTGATCTTAGCTGACTCTTCCAGCAGTCAGTTGGCTCTGACCGCCTTTAAATCACCCTGTCCCATTATACAAGACATTTTAGTGCACCTTGCAGCGCTAGATCTCGCAGGTAAAACCGTCGTCCTATGTTAGATATCGAGCCATGTGGGTACCGCAGTTAACGAGCGTGCTGACGCGGCCGCAAAACAGGCATCGCGGGTATCTTGCATCCGCTCTTTGCCTTTGCCGGCAAGAAACTTCTACCCTGTCATCGTGGCCTATGTGAAGGGGAAATGGCAATGCCGCTGGGACGCCACTGTGAGCAATAGTGAGCTGTGAGCAATGAGCTGAAGGCGCTTAAGCCACAGCTGAGTCCATGGCCGTCAAGCTCAGGTAAGTTGAGACGCGAAGGAGTAATTCTCAGCAGGTTACGAATTGACCACGTGCACGCAGCACATAGCTACCTTCTGTGCGGTGGAGAACGGCCTAAATGTCCTCATCTTGATGCGCCACTTACGGCTCGCCACGTTATTCACTCTTGCCCAAAGTTCAGAGAAGAGCGGACACTTTATTTCGGAAGAGACACCTCAGGCCTTATTTTTTTTCAGATATCATCGGTGGCGATCCTCGCATGCTTGGCACGGGACAGCTGTTCTCATTTTTGAAAACTATAGGATTTATAGCCATCTATACACCTTGGTAGCCACTTAGCTGTTATGGGCGCAAAATGACCTCAGAAGTCGGCGCACCCTAAAAACCCTAATCATCATCATCATAAGTCCTTGTTGATCGGGCGGGTAAGCCTACCGCAACTCATGCCCACCAGTGCCAGTTTTTTCCATTTGTTCCACCTAAGGCCGATGACACTTACGTGAGTTATTGCAAGCCTTTAGTCGCTTTCGTTGATTTCTAAACAATCTGCGCTTGTAGGCGCCACTACCGAGGCACGGTCTTGTAGGCACCACTACCGAGGCACGGTCTTGTAGGCACCACTACCGAGGCACGGTCTTGTAGGCGCCACTACCGAGGCACGGTCTTGTAGGCGCCACTACCGAGGCACGGTCTTGTAGGCGCCACTACCGAGGCACGGTCTTGTAGGCGCCACTACCGAGGCACGGTCTTGTAGGCGCCACTATCGAGGCACGGTCTTGTAGGCGCCACTATCGAGGCACGGTCTTGTAGGCGCCACTACCGAGGCACGGTCTTGTAGGCGCCACTATCGAGGCACGGTCATGTAGGCGCCACTATCGAGGCACGGTCTTGTAGGCGCCACTACCGAGGCACGGTCTTGTAGGCGCCACTATCGAGGCACGGTCTTGTAGGCGCCACTACCGAGGCACGGTCTTGTAGGCACCACTACCGAGGCACGGTCTTGTAGGCGCCACTACCGAGGCACGGTCTTGTAGGCACCACTACCGAGGCACGGTCTTGTAGGCGTCACTATCGAGGCACGGTCTTGGCGCTGCAGCTGTGCCGAGGTCGTGGGACTTGCCACACTGCTCGAGACTGGTACGTGGGCCAGTGCGTGTGTAGCAACAAACTTGTGTCGTTGCAAGGAGAACACATTTCACCAGCAGTCATACCATTACACAATTTCTCAATCCATTGCACGATTCCATTCAAAAAATGGTCTGGATGCGCTTGATCGTGATTGTCAGCGCCGGATTGAGCCAGCGGGTTGTTTTGTCTTATGCGTGCAGGAGAAGTCCTACCTGGATTTCGCCCTGGACCACGACTTCCAGACCAGTCGCAAGTGCCGACTTAAGATAGCGAAACAAGAGTTCTTCACGGCCGGCTTTGGCTGGATTCTGGAGACGGGCAGCCCCGTCAAGGATCTCTTTAATCTGGAGTAAGAGCAGTGGGGACGCCCCGTCGAAGGTGCCAGCCAGAATGCTAGTGCCGATAAGCTGGTGATACATGTCAAAAAGTGACTTCATGTGCCAGTGAATGATCTGGCTTTCAGTCCCTGCGCAAGGATGTTCGAGCGCGGTCTAGCTCATGAGGACATCTTAAGGGCAGCCTCTGCAGGTTACGTAGTCGCTTGTTCAGGAATAGACCGGTGCCTGTCAAAGGATCTCTGAAACATTCATGAGTGAAGTTGGCATGTGTTCTTCTACCACATCAACTTCCCAACTTGCTCCACCACGCGCTGCATTGTCCCGTGTGGCCGGCGCGCAAATAATGCAATGCACGGCATAATGCATGCAAAGCATGCATGCAATAAGTGGGTCGGCATGTAAAGCCTTACAGTAATAATTATCATCCTGTCTGATAGCCTTGCTTCGCGTGATGATCCCATTCCGTCTGGTGACCCCTAGCCCGTCTTATGACCTTCTCCCAGTGTGCTGACCTTCAGCGATTGACCCAGCGAGATTTGACTCCGTGCTTCCCCCAGCAAGATGACCTCCACCCAGCGTCTGATGATCTCGGCTCGCGTCAGGGTGACCTCTGCCCTGTCTGATAGCCCCCTCCACCTGTCCCTCTCGCCAGGCCGGGGTGCGCGGTGTGAGCACCGGTTGACGTCGGCCGCTCTCCCGTCTCCAGGTTCCTGCGCATGTCCGAGTCGGGGCTGTTCGACAAGTGGCGCTCCGACTACTGGCCGCCGGCGTCCAACTGCAGCACGGGCGCCATCTTCACCGACGTCACCACCAAGCCGCTGATGGTGGAGGACATCGTCTCGTCGCTGATCCTGTACCTGTTGGGCGTGCTGCTGGCGCTGCTGGTGTTCGTGCTGGAGAGGCTATCACGGCTGGGCCGCCCCCTGGCCGGCGGCGACGGCGTCCGCAAAGCCTGGCTGCGGCACCACCCGAAGAGAGTCCAGCCCTGGCTAGGGCGGCACTGACGCCGTCCACCGGGCCTTGAAGTCGCGGCGCGTTGCTGACTGTGCTGACGTCACATGCTTTGCTGCTGATGTCACATGACGGCACAAGCTAACGCTGTCGCCTGCTGACGTTAGATGTCCATGTAAGATGTTTATGTTCACTGTTGATGGTGACCAACGTTGCTGTTCACCCCTCATGTCAAATGCATGATGTTCACGATCCATATTGATCGACGATGATGTTGACCGGTGATGTTCAATGCTGGCGTTCACCATTTATGTTAATGGCTCATGTCAACTTCCGATCATCGTTGCACTGACATGTACCGCGGATGTTCACTGCTAGTGTCCTATGCATCTAATGTATGCTGACGTTGACTATTGGCGCTCACATTTACTGTTTATTCACTAGGCAGCGAAACATTTCCTTCCGGCACTACAGTGAGGATGTGACGGGGCTGTCAAGTGCTGATGTTAACCGCAGACGTTCACTGTTCATGCCATCGTCCACTACTGATCAGGAGCAGTAGTCACCGGCGGCTGATGCCTATGTCAGTTGTGCGCATATAGTGGCAGATGATGTGAAATGCTTATTCTACCGCTTGAATTACGTGGTTGTATGAGTCTCTGACATCGAACGCTGATGTGATCCGTTTATTTTGCTGTCGACATGTACCGCTGACGAGTAACGAGGTGGCGTTTTAGCACCCCTGCATCCGATCAGCACAGTTCGCCCGCACATTTCACTGGCGACCGCCGAACAGAGGTCTTTTATGAGTAGGACAATGCAAAGAAATGTGTATTCTTACTGCATGACAATGACCACAAATGCTTTCACAACTGACGCAGATGCCCGGCGGTCTGGTTCCTCATGTTTTCCTCCCTACGGACGTCACTAAAAGAGGTCATGGTAAAAAGGCACCCACACCATTCACGTGGTGCTGGTGTGTCTGGTGCTCATTCGCACGTATTCGTGACGGAGCGACTGATAGGTCATGTTTGCAGCCGTGTTCTAGGATGCCCAGTGTTGGTGGTGACAGTCCACATATATGCAGGCACGGGATTCGTTACATGGAGCGGCCGCATGTATGAACCGCACCTACGTATCGGGCAGTTCACGCCAACCCAGATATCCTTGGCCGGGTAACGTGGATGGTGCATCGCTTTCTGCCGCCATTGTAATCACATGCATGATTTACATCCAACCAAAGGGTAGCGATGTCTCAAGCTTCATAAACCATTTATAACACAATGTATGCCTAACCATATTTTGGATACACATACCCATTTGCATAGCGTGAGGCATTGTTCAACGTACCGCAGAGTATTTTGCACTCGTAAATAAAATGTGTATGTGAAATGTGTCCCTTTACACACGCCCCGCTGCAGGTGATGAGGTGCTTGCAGGTACTCGTAATGGATGGCGCCTCACCGAGTAAGCAGTCCACTGATGAATTTTTAACTTGGCTTGGCTCTTGGCCATTGAGCGGCTGTTCGACCGCTGCCAGCAGCTGTCGACACGTCCTGTGGTCCGCGACCCGCATCATCGGACGGAAAAGCGGCGCCATTGTTCGCAAAAATTGTCCATCACTGTCGCAGCGCGTGCCGAGAGACCATCACTAGAGTGCGGACAAAGGAGGGCCGGAATACCGGAACCGAAACATCATTATTATGCGCTATTGTTCACAAAGTTCGCACTGCTATGCACATGTCACCATTGTTATTGTTTCTACCGAGCAATCGATGGCCGTACTGACTTTGGTAATATTAAATGAGTGACCTTTATGTGACGCAGCGCCGTAATAAGCCGTTTGTTACCTCCTCACGCTCGTCAATGTCATATTGCTTGAACAAAGTCATGATGCGAGCTTTTTTTGTAAAAAGGAAAGAAATGCACGTCGTCACGCTACTTTTACGAAGCGCCAGCGACTGCACTGACCATATTGGCGCTCAGGGGCATGAACCGGAATTCGAACCTGCTCCCACGGAGTCCGTCCGAAGAGGTTGGCGCGTCTGATTCCCACGTGGTCGGGCCCGGGTCATCACCCCATGTCACGTGCGCGTGCACTGAACGCGTGCGCAACATAATGCCCGCTCGTCGGCTGGAAAGGTCAAGGGTCAACGCACGTCGTGCCACTATACACACAACTGGCATCCCGCCTGTGTCTGCTGCTGTTACAAATCAAGCGTGGCTCAATTCGCCCAAGTGCTTACTCTTCACACCAATAAGCCTGCGCTTCTTCCAGCCAGTCTCCGCTAGCCTAAGCTAGCTAGCTAGCTTAGCTGCTAGCCTCCGCTAGCTAGCTGCGATTTGTTATTGAGCAGGAAAAATAGCCTTCTCTAGACGCAACAAAACCACATCTCCCGCACAGTCGTGATTTGCACTTTCTACCCTTTCCGGCTGCCTTTCCAATTAAGCATCCGGTTGCCTTTCGTAGAGTGTCCTAGCTTCGGTGATCTGGACCTGAAATAACTTAACACGCCGGCTCAATGTCTTGCACTTGGGTGGGGGTCAATTTAACCCCCTTAGATCTCAGAGACTAGGATAGGAAGGGACACAAAATTTACAGGATAGACCGACCTTACGTGAGCTCGATTATGCCAAAATATGAGGTTCCTAGATCATGAGCTTGGGGTCCTGTTAGGTCAAACAAGGTCAAAATCCAGATAGCGGTCTCGAGTGCCGCCAAACCTCCGCATGCAGACGCCGTGAAACTGGAAAAAGGTGAAACTACCTGTTCTGAGCAAAATGTCAAAAATGCTAGTGACCTTGTTTTACCTTTATGAGGTCAAGGTGACCAAGCACCTACGAGTTTGCCCTTGTTTTGTCATTCGCATACGCACCTGGGATTATGCCATGCGGTAGGCTCCTAACAACAAAATGATAACCTGGGTAACTTTAGGACAGTGGCCGGCCCTGATCCTTAAAAGTCAGTGGAACATGTTTGTTACGATCCCTAGCATCAATGAATTTGAAATGATCACCAACAACTGTGCCGTAAAGCCAAGCTCTTGAGTAAAAAGGTAAAGCAGGTAAGTTTTGACTCCGGTCTGACCTTCGTGTCTGACTCTAGGTTGCGTAAGCTGTTAAGTGCATTTGCGATGAACGTTGTGCATGGGACAGTAGTAACAGCCTTATTTCTCGGAGAAAAAAAAACAAGAAAATGGAAATATAGATTCGTCGACATTCCGGCAGCATGCCTTTAACGAAAAGAATAGCAGACCCCCGCTGTTCGTTTGGATAAAGACACGTTAGCCAAAATATCAACACATCTATATCTCCATCCTTCTGGCTTTTTTCCAAAGAATAAGGCTATTAGTACTATCTTGTCTGACTCTAGGTCAATGTAATTGATTGTACTTATAATTATAATTGGCTTTTTACTTCAGAAATTGTCTCCGACGCGTATGGCTTCGTCTCAGACTCAGCTGTTCTAATCTAATACTTCACATCACAAGCTCTGCTGTACAGTTCTCTACAAATATGCAACGTTTGGCGCGGCTTTGAGGCATGTCATGCATGTCATGTCATTTTGGAAAAAAACTTTTTGGAGGGATCAATTTAACACCCACTCTGGCGCGTGTTAAAAACAAAGCCCTCATTTCCATGCCACCTGTTCGGCGTGATTGCGTTCTTCTGTGAAGCAACCCTCATTTTTTTCTTCTAGGTGATGGTGTCCAAATTTAAGCGTTAGCTTTTGCACTTTTCCCCAGAAATGCCTGGATCGAAGATTTACAACAAGTGTGTGTTGTTGATCAGCTTCTACCGACATTGACGAAATCCACAGATCAAGTTGATCCGAATCGCCATTTGAAGTGCTCGCGGTGTCGTGGTTGCTTATGGAGTTGACCGCTGTCAGCGGGCCGCTCTGGGGCGCAGTGGGGCTCCGCTCTGGGGCGCAGTGGGGTACGCTCTGGGACGCAGTGGGGCTTCACTCTGGGGCGCAGCGGGGTTCCGTTCTGGGCCACAGCGGGGCTCCGCTCCGTCGCTGGCGGGTGCGACAGTCAGCAGTGTGCGCACATTGGTCAGCCCTGCCCACCGACGCAGCTGTATCGGCCAGCCCTGTCAGGGGGCTGGCGGTGGGGTGTGCAGTTGGCTGCTGGAGACCGAGCGGTTAGCAACGAACCAGTGAGGTGGCCGTGGTCGGCGCCCATTCCCCCTCCCCTCCCCCCCCCCCCCCCCCCCTCTATCCCCGTCCCATCAGGGGTCGGCAGTCAAAGCACATCATGGAAGGATGCTTTTCCTGGCGTCTTTTTTACTGATGTGGTGGTGTAAAAGAAGCAATTTAAACTGATAACGCTGCATTGGAGGGGGCTTTGCTCCCATCAATGGCACGCAGCCTCCGAATGTGACTTTGGTAGTCGCTGTAGTGATAAACCATTATCTCCCAAAAGACGGGTCATCCCTCTAAATTCAAAGCTCACCTCTCTTAAGTGGACAGCCGGGTACAATTCATTCAGATTGCTAGAGGAAATAGACTATGTAATCATACTTTGTGCAGGAGTTTCAAGTCAAGTAGCTGCTGAAGATTTTCCCGAGGACCGGCAACTGCCCCTCCCCCCTTCCCCCTCTCCGCAGCGACACGCTAGAGTGACGACACCTGCAGAAGTGTCAGCACTCTCCAGCCGTGCACGCAGGGGCTGCTTTCACTCTGCCTCGGCAGTGATCAGAGCAAGGTTGATCTCCGACAGGCGGTGTGATGCTGCTGACGTCAGCCAGGTGAAGAATGCTCCCGGGCGGTGCGCTGGCGCTGCTCCCGATGATGCTGCTCACTGGCGACGCTCTGCTCTCCAGAGGTAGGCCCAGCCACTGCGGCTGAAACCGCACGATAGCAGGTCATCAGGTAAAAACGCTGGCTCGGGTTTGACTTGTACATTATTGCTATGACGGGTTTTAATGATGACAGATCGCACACAAAAGAGTTATGCGTGCTCAAAGTTCTTTAAGAAGCCATCTTCTTTGAGCTGATCTAGTTTACTGGCCTTGGCAGGTCAAAACTTTGAAATTATACAGAAAATAC